GGGAGGGGACCCACTTGCTTCTTAAGCATCAAGATTGAAGAAAAAATMTCCAAGTCCAAAGGAAAGCTCTTTTTGCAAAATAAGGAGATTGTCCCCACCAAATTTCGAATGGAGTTCGGGTGAACCTGGCCGACCGTCACGCCGAAGTGGTTCAAGACTTCGACAAGGAGGGGATGGAAAGGCAATCGCAACCCCGTGGCGAGCTGCTCCCAGAATATCACGATCTCATCAGGACCGTGTTCCCAAGGAAAGCTACTCGAAGGTATGAAATAAGCGTACTCCCCGGGCAAGTTATAGTAGGTAATGAGGGATTGGAGCCCCTCGGGCGTCATGGTCGAAGGGCCAAACTTGTCTAACATTCGACCCCGATGAGAGGTAGACGCCAAACTACCCGAAGCGCCTCGGCCTACGAGCTCGAACTCTTCCTCGAGCTCTACCTCTGGCTCGCTAGGGCTATCAGACCCGCTGGAAGGACTATCTGAGCTATCCAAGATAGACATCGGGGAGTAAGATGGATTCCAGGAAAGTACTTACCCGGAAAAGGCTGTAGACCACAAGAGCTCGGACGAGCAAAAGACCTTGAACGTGAACTGAAAAAACCTGGACGTGAACTGGAAAAACCTGGATGCGAGGTGAAACTCGAACGCGAGCTCGAGAGTAATACAGAAGTGACAACGACTGGGGTCCCCCCCGCTATTTATACTCACAGTGATCGAAAAGCGACGGCTTACATCAAAGCCAATCCGACGGCCCACAGCCGCACTGACCACACGTCCCCTGAGACCGAGACGTGATTGGCGCACGTCTTTCTGAAATTGACAGAGCACCGGCACACGTCTTCCTGAAACTGACAGAGCACCGGCGCACGTCTTTTCAAAACTAACGGAAYGCCAGCGCACGTCTCCTCACAATAAAAGCGGTAGCGGCACGTTTTTTCAAATTTGAAAAGACGCCTGCTATCGCACCTCCCAAGTGGCGCGCTTTTTTGAAATTTTGAAATAAAGCACGCGTTGTCGCATCTATCAGCGTTTAGGCAGGTTGGTACGTTTCCCGCCTTTTGAGCGCTCGAAGAAACCCAAGGAACCCTGACAACGCACCTCGCGCCATCCGAACCAAGATTCAAAGTATAGAGCAAATCCACTTGACACCTTGCGAACTCCCCGCACCAGGGCAAGACCCTTAGTGCGAGGAGTGGGGGCAATTGATGAAGGAAGATTTGGCCCGACCTCGCAATCACTCCACGTGGCAAAAACAAATAGCTCGGCACTTAAAACAGCGTACCCAGGGCGCAAGCACCAAAGGGAAGAAACCAGTAGTCCGAACTCCCTTCGAGGAGCCCAAACTCCCTACGAGGAGCCCGACCTCCCTACTAAGAGCTCGAACTCCCTACGAGGAGCCCGAACTCTCCCTTAGGCCCCGAGCCACACAAAGCAGTGACCCGAACTGGCCCGCCTCATGGCAGTTCGGGACACCCCCTATCCGAACTCAAGAGTTCACCTCGCACACCACTCCAGCACTTCACCTCCAGAACGCCGAACTAGACAAACCACACCGTACCTGACACCGAAGGAGTCCGTATCCAGGGGCGGCGCACCTGACTGACTTGGGATTTGACGCTTGACAACCGCACTTCAACGGCCACCTGCCACCGCCACCTGCCACCGCCATCTCCAGTTACAGAGACGGCTCCGACAAAATAAGTAGTGGCGGTTCTGCCCCAGCAAAGGTGATGACACCCGAACTGGCAGAAGCACGAAAGTAATCATGCCGACCTAGCAGAAGCTTAGGAGTGAGTGCGCGAGGTGGTTATAAAAGGCTCTCTACCCCCCAAGAACAAGGTATGCAAACTTCGAGCTATTTGGTTTTATCTTGCTTTTGAAGGATTCTAACTTGAGCTTCGGAGCCTTTACACCGGGTTCCCCCCGGAGCTTCCTCATCTTCTCTGTTTTAGGTTCCCTGCAATTCAGTTCAGAGGCAAGGTCGTTGACAGCTAAGATCGGCCAGATTGCGCACCATCACCAACCATTGCTTGAATATAATCATACTTGCTCAAAAGCCATTCATCAATCTGCACACGAATCTCACAAATATCGGGAGAAAAACAAGTTGGATGTTGGATATGTAGTCCCTGAAAATGCATTAGTTGCCTCATAAAAATATTCCAAACATTTACAAACAACTTGACCAATATCCCACTCCTCAAAAGATGGATTAAGATTATATTCTTTATCAATTTGTTTCAATCAAGCAAATGTAGCCCTATACTTAAGTGCTGTTTTGAGTATATCATAGGATGTATCCATCTTGTGGGGCAATCTAAAACCAACTCCTTTTTACTACGAATCTTTAATTGACGTTTTGCCATTTCAAATTTCAGATTTCTTTGGCTTGAAACTTGTAAATATTTGACTGATTCTCTAATTTTTCCCATCAATTGCCTAACAACATCCAACCCATCTTGCATAATGAGGTTCAAAACATGTGCTATGCAACGCACATGAAACAATTCCCTTGACAAAAGAAGTTTACCCTACCCAGAAAGCCACTCCTTCATGTTTCTAATTACAACATCATTCACAGAAGCATTATCAACAATAAAAGTCATCACTTTACTATCAAGGTTCCAATGCAAAATAAGATCTTTGATGACTCTAGTAAGGTTTATAGCATCATGCTTCTCTCTAATAGCTCGAAAAACTATAATCTTCTTTCTCAATTGCCACTTATCATCAATGTAATGTATAGTTAAACAACAATATCCAATATTTTGCCATGATATCCATATATCAGTAGTGAGACTAACCTGGGAATCAAGCCTATCAAGAATGCAATAAAACTTCTCTTTCTCATCCTCATAGGTTTTCATGCAATCATTCTTAATTGTGTTACGTGAAACCATTTTAAACATGGGATTAAGACCAATAACCCAAATCTCAAGAACTCGTGCTTTGCCATGCTAAATGGTTGGTTATGTTTGATTAGATATCTTGTAAAATCATATCTACTCTTTATGGGATCATATCCCCATCCCTCTAATTTGTGGGTTGACTCACTTACATTTGTAGAAATTGTCAACATTTGTTGTCCAATTTCTCTTTGTCCTTTTGGTAATCTTAGTGGACATCTTGAGACACAATTAGCTAGATGAGTGGTCCCACTAGTGCTTGTTGCATTAACATCTTGTTTACAATAATTGCAAACAACTATTTCCTCATTTTTTGCATTAAGAATTATGTGAAAATGGTTCCATACTTCAGATGTTCTTTTTCTTTTTCTAGGGACCAATGGAGGCAATGCAGCACTAGGACTATTCACATTTTCACCATTTTCACTATTGGCATTAGGTCCAGTGCTAGATTGAGAAGGATTAACTGATCCAGACATTTAATATTTTCTTCAAAACTAAAAGTGGAACCTAAATAAAAATTACACAAAATAAAGTTTAAAAAAATATCAGAAGTTTAAAACTAGCAAGGTAAATGGATAATCATAAAATAAAATTACTAAAAATGAGAAGCAATAAATATTCACAATATCATTTAGGAATTAGGACAAAAAAATTTGCAACATAATCACTATCTACATGAATAAACCAATTCCTAAATTTATAATCTATTCTATTTATTCTATCTCATTTAAGCTGAAAAATCTAGCTCATAAGTCATAACTAGAAACCAATAAACCAATAAATTATTATCTAAAAACATTGTTAGAATTCGAAAATCTGTAATCTATTCTATCTCATTAGAATAGGAAAATGAATAAACCAATTCCTAAATCTGTAATCTATTCTATCTTATTTAATCTGAAAATTTTAGCTCAAAACCAAAAACCAAAAAAACAATAAATCATTATCTAAACCACTATCAGAAATTTGTGATTTGAAAATTTTAGCATAGGAAAAGAGCTGAAAAATCTAAATCACTATCTCATTAGAAAAAGAGTTGAACAGTCTAAAAAATTTAGCATAGGAACCAATCTGTAAGACTGTAATCAAATTACCTTGAGAAAAGAGGCAGGGGACGGCGGTAGGCGGTTCCCGGCGGTGGGCAAGTGTGAGTATGTAATGGCATGGGTTCCTGGTGGCAGTCGTGGGTTGCAGCACAAGGCTGATGATGCTGAACGGTTGAAGTGTAAGGTTTGCTTGAGCTTGAGTAGTGGCGAATGGACCAAGGAGACAACGTTGAGCTTGAGCTATGGCCGGTGACCGGTGCTCGACTGCTATCACTGACGCTACTGTTGATGATGGTGGTTGCTCGGGCAACGAGTCATTGTCTCACTGAGATTCTAAGAGAAGAGAGATAAAGGTAAGGGGAAAGATGAGATGAGCGACGACGACGTTCGCCGAAAGGATGGTGGTTGCTCAGACGATGAGGGGCAGTGACTGGTGATGAACCAATGATGGTTGCTCGGCTGGCATTTGGCGACAATGAAGAGAATGATGGAGGGTTAGGGTTTTGAGAGGTAACTGGTAAGGAGGTTTGAACTCAATAAACTGAAAGAGCTCGATTTTGAGATTTTTGAACTCATTAGTTATTTTTCATTTTCTTTTTTAACCTTTATATATATATATATATATATAAAAGGTTCAACCGGTTCAATCGGTTAGGTAAAAACAAAACCCGAGTCCTATCTTTCTCATTCGTTTGAACTCTCTTTCCCCGGTTTCATTTTCCACCCAAGCCCTAGCTCAATCAAGAGGCCACCCTCACCGGCGGTAATTTTAACGAGTCCGACGGTGTGGAATCAACCAGCGGTAGCATCCATTCTCCTCGTTTTCCTTCCTGACCTATTATTCTTCTCCAATATGATATTCTTCCTTTCTACATACCACCGGTGGCAATTTCTCTATTTTACCGAGATTCGACAGCGTGGAATAAACCGGTGACAAGTCTAAACCGGAAGTTGGGTTGGGGCCTCCACGCCGATTTACCATCAGCTATCCGATATCACGAGCTCTGACCCAATTGCATCTCTATGCCATGTCTTCGCAGCAGAACGAGTTCAGCCTTCTAATGACTCTCGCCTTTGCGTTTGTTAGCTGGCCATACAATGATAGGGTCCTTGAGAATGGTGGGTCGGAACCCGATCGTGAATGAAGTAAGAGAGATGCCAATCGTCGGAGGCACGAGGGTTTTCCGATTTGCACGTGGGTATTGCTTGGCAAAGAAACACTCCATGGTGGGATTTGATGTAGTAATCGGATATAATGGAGTTCTTATTTTTGTATTTCACATTTTATTTGGATCCCCCGGCCTTGTGTGAGATTTTCTATTATGAATAAATGAAGAGTTTACTTTTATCACCCATGGAGTAATTTAGATGGGTTCTCTCTCTCTCTCTCTCTGAATCGGGAAACAACAATATAGTTCTATTGCCTTCCCTGTGTAAGTTAAAATTTCGAAGTCTATGACCATGTCAACATTTCCAACTGTGTTAAGATGTTCTTGCAATTCTAGTTCAAAGTTCCAACATGCAGAATGCACTCGGACAAGAGTGGAAGTCTTGTGAGTTGTGAAGATGCCATAATCAAATGTCCCACATCTTGGGAAGAATAAGGTCTGGTTTATGAATCTTCATGTTGTCGTAGATTGATCAAAAGCTTGAAATGTTCAATCTGTCTAGCAAAACAAGTATTCCCATCCAATGATAGCTTGTTCTCTCCGTTTTTTATCAAACCTTTTATCTTGGTGTCAAGGAAATAGAGTTGAGATAAAACTGGTTAGATTTTCAATGTTAGAACTTAAAACAATTAAGACCCCCAACTCAACTGCCACTTTACTCCTATCGCCTGTTGATTCCATGTTGTCGGAGTTCAGTGAAACAAAGAAATCGTCGCTGGTGGTCTATTGAAAGGAAGAATATCAGATTGGAGAGGAATAACAAGTTTAGAAGGAAAATGAGGAGAATGGATGCTTACCGTCTGTTGATTCTTGTTGCCGACTGACTCCACGCCATCGGACTTGCTGAAATTGCCACTGGTGATAGTGGCCTCTTACTCTTGAGCTAGGGCTCGGGTGAAAATAAAACTAAGAAAAGAGAGTTCAAACGAATGAGGGAAAAAGATAAGGCTCGGGTTTTATTTTTACCTAACCAGTTGAACCAGGCTGACAACGATTAACAGACTTGTTAGGTTAACGGAATAGCAAGCCCCGAAGGGTCCCACTGAATCCGGGGACTCCCATTTTCTCGACTCTCGTATATGTTGGGCCCAACGATGGCAAAGCGGGGAAGGTTTCAGACTTCAGCGCAAATGGTAAGCAAAGAAATTGATGGAAGATTTCACAGATGGTGTGGGTGAAGCCTTCGCCTTTCCCAAATCCCAAATCCCAAATCCCAATTCTTGCCATTCAGGAAGAATTCGATCTACGAATTCGACCTTTAAAAGCCCTCATTGTTCATCTACAAGGTCCTCCCCAATTGTTACCGGTCAAGAATGATCCGAGATAGGAGGCAGCTGCGGAAGAATAGTCTATTTTCTCACTTACATTTCATCGCCGTAGAGGGAGTAGTGGTGGCGAATTTTATTGCCATAAAGGGAAGACCGGTGGAGATGGTGGTGCAGCGAAAAAACATATCAGCACACTTGGTTGTAGGTACGGTAGGGGTGGTATCGGAAAACTGAGTTGTATTTCTTATAAATTGATCTCTATTTACATGGGTGAATGTAAGAGAGTAAATGCCGACAAGATATGGGGGTTTACCCTTGGCATATTACCAGCCATGATTCAATTAATCCTTCCATAGACGCCTAATTCCAATTGCATATTAGGCTAAAAAGAGATGTCTTTTAAACTGAATATCTTTATTCTTTCCTTGTATGCTAGATTGTATTTTTTAGATCTTCTATTCTACATTTTTATCCGACTCAGATCACATGTAAAGACGTATTTCAATTTCTACTTGTAATTACAAAAACAAAGACACAGATATATATTATATTCCAGTTTGTTTCACCCTACCTTCTCACACCATACACAAACATAGTCTCTGGATCAAGTCCGGAGTTAATTCTGTTCAGTGGGTACAGAAGAAATGGTGATTTACATTTTCCTTTTTAACTTGCAGTTGCTACACGTAAGCAATTCGTAGCCTTTGCGTTTCAGGGCCTGCTATCATATCCTCCCAAAGCATATCTGAAAGCGCAAGGGTCAATTTGCCAACCTTTCCTGCAAAATCAAAACCCGAAATTGTATCAGAACAAGAGATATTGTCTCGGAGCTCAAGCAGCTCAAGAAGCCAAAAGCTTTGGGGGGATGGTCGCTGGTTGCTTACCATCTCCTATGGGTTTCTCATCCCACATGATGATAGGTAATATGGGAAGCCCACTTCCTACAAACATCATCTCGGCTGCGTTTCTGGCTTCTTCCACTGGTATATCTGCAGTGTTGACACTCTTCAGAAGGCCCTGCTCAACCAATTTTGGTGCCAGGGCCATTAGCCTTTTTGCAGTGCACCCAGCCAGGACCTTGTCGAATGAGGGCAGCAGAAGCTCCTTCTTCTGAGTTATGAGAGCCACGTTCATGTTTGGTCCCTCTGCAACACAACCTTCATCATCGACCCAGATGGAAGCAAATGCTCCCTTCTCCTCGGCTTCCATTTTGGCAAGGACGTTGGGCAGATAATTCACATTCTTCATTGTGGCAAATAGCGGGGACTTCATGGGTATGGTGGATGTTATCACCTTCACGCCTTCTTTCTGTGGCTGTGGGGATCCCTCGCCCTCGATGACTACTGCATAGAAACCAGGTGTTGAGCAACCTGCAGATGACAGCAGAAAATCCCCTGGTCCTGCACTCAACCAATATTTCAACGAGCCGTTTCTGCACTGTGACACGGCCGTCAATTGCAGAAGAATGCTTCTTAGAGTTGATCTAGGGAAGGGGGGTGGAATTTTTGCTTTTGATGCTGATCTCAACAATCGGTCCAGATGATGGTCCAAGTCATATATGTAACTAGAGAGAGAGAGAGAACAAGAAAGAAATTCAACAAGTGAAACAGCTAGTAAACTTCTGGGCAACTTGAAACAATTAGTAAGTTTGATTATTTTGGATTTAAATCGAAGCACAAGTTTGTAGTTGTGGGCTGTAAGCTATAGTTTAAGCATAATCAACTATGTTGGACTTACCCATCAAAAATTCGAGCTGTGTCGAATACACCATGCCCTCTGTGAACCATGTGATCATCGATTGGAATAACCATCAAAGCTGGATCAAGAGTAATTCCACCAAAAATGCTAGAATACATTGCTCGATATGGTTGCTTCTTCCCTGAATTCCATTTTTCTTGCAGTTTCTCGAGGACCTGACAATTGAATTCAAGAAGAGAACCGGTGTTAGCCTAACCAACGGCAGAGCAAGACTAAATACTCACCCAGTACTGTTCGAAGAGCAATTACACCTAGGGATCCAACCATTCCAAAACTTCAACAGATTGGATGATCTCTTCATCCCTTCATTATTTCAGAGAACCAGTTGAAAACATATGAATAGAAAAGGTTAATATCTGGTAAGTTAGGATCAATGAATTAGTTTGACCAACCTCGGCTTCAAGCACCTGCTGCTACAGTATGGTATTTCTCTGTTACGCAATTAGAACCTCACCTTCTGAGTACTGATAATCATGGTGGTTCATTAGTTATTAAGGATTACTTGTCCTACGATCTAGCACCTCAGCTCTATGTTGGATATGGGATTGTGTAGCCCATATCAAGCCTATGGCTTAGTCGTGCAACAGCAGTGGAGGTTAGGGCTCACCATGGCCCTAGAATGAAATAAAGAGAACCGGAGGTACCTCTGTCGACGAGGAGAAAACGGGCACTCGAAGACGGCTGCTATTTCCGTCACTCTCGGATCCATTGGTCTCATCTAAAGCAACAAGGAACAAAAAGAGTTTAAGACACCATCCTACTCTTGATGGATTGAATCACAGAATAGCGGGAAAAAAAAGCCAGAATTTGCCTGTTTTATTCTGAACAGAAGAGATTTCCATGGTGGGAAATGATGAAACTTGAAAGCTTAGAGGAACGGGAAATGCTTTTTCAGAAACCCCACAAGAGAAGATGCTGTTAGTTCGAAGAGGGAAGGAATGAAGAAAACAAATGGAAGTGAGATGGACGAAAAAATGTGATCACAGTTTCGCTTCAAGTTGGAATCAATGGTCTTGTTCTTTGTTACTTATAAAACAGTCAGATGCTGGTGTAGTTGCACGAAAATGAATAGAGGCTGGCTCGGGGATTCGGATAAGGACACGTCCAGACCGACAATATTACGATTTTCTCTGGCAAACTTTTTCCTTAGTTTCTTTTGATAGGAAAATCAAAAGCGGGTTTGCTTTCAATGTTCCATACTTCCATTCAGAATGCAAGTACTCTGGATTGACCAAACTCACACACTGATTTATTCTCCATTAACTAATGCTGCAAAGACAGTTAATAGAATTTGGCACTTGGGATTGGCCACACCAAGCTCACTCACCGATTTTCTTTCCATTGACCAATTCTGCTCGCCAAGATTGATGTCTTTGCCGCATCTGCAACAAGTCTGGTAAATTCTCCTGTTGCTTATTGGCAAAGTGGATACCACGGTAAATCAGGTTTTCTTTTGTGTTACAGAGTTGCAGTCCTGTCAATCGGCTCGCAATGTGCCAATATAATTTTGGTTTGGCCTAATGCAAACAAGTGTTCCTCCACGTGTTGGAGATATACAGATTATAGACTAACTAGTCCATCAGCAAATGGTTCGGCTAGACAACAGATTAACTCTACTACAATGGGTTTTGATGGTTTTTTATTCTTATCCTATTACAGCCGAGCCGCAGTATGCCAGCACACACCCATATAATCTGATTCTGATAAGGGGAAGAACATCTCTATATTAATTAGGCCTTTGTTTCTTATAACATGGGAAAGGACACGTGGTGTATGTTTAATTGGGGTTAATAGAAAAAAGTTTGTTTCTTGTAATATGGGTAGGGACAGGTGGTGTTTTATTAGGTTAGCAAAGACGAGAGAAGATTAATTGCCGGTTCTAAATACAAATCAAAACCATCTGATTTGAAAATAGATTATTTTTTAAAATTAAAACACAAAGAACATATTTTTGGGTTGCGTGTATTTTTTGTTTTTAAAACTGAAAAAAAGTTCTTAAATCTGGTTTTAAAAACATGTTTTCATGTAATTATTTAATATTATATTCTATAAATCATATAATTTATATATCAGAAAATTTGTTTTTGTTTTAAAAACCAATATTTTATTGGTTCGAAAAAATGTATTAGTTTTTGAAACAAAACCAACTTACTTTTTCCTTTCAAAACAAAAACAGAGCTCAAGAACATGTTTTTGTTCTTTTGATGATGTGGCAATTCTAAAAACAAATGAAAACAAAAAACATATTCATGTTGTAAAGTGCCCCCTAAGTTAGTAGGAAATCCCGATTCCAGCCATATTACAAGAAATTTAACTTTTCCAACAACCCAACACATAAGGGTTCGTTTGGATATTGTGAATAGAGGTCTGGAATGTTTGATTGGGCAGAATGGTTCTGATTATCATTCTTGGCAGAATGGCCATTCTGGACTCTCCCATTGGAAATGAGAATCCCATTCCAACCAACCAAATAGAAAAAGAGAAATACAAGTGACACCCCCAAACCTTATATCTCTTTATCCAATGCCAATCCTCCTTGAGAGTTGTGCATATCTTATAAAATTCAATTCCGATTTCAATTCCCTTTTGAACCAAAGGTTGGGGAATAGGCAATTCCAATTCCAATTCCAGAGGATTTTGATTCTGATTCCAACCTTGAACCAAATGGACCCTAGAATCCTACACTTCGCATTTTCTTCAAGATTTGCTGTCCCACTCCCACATTCCCATGCTTCATGTCCATCTCATTTGGTTATCCTCCTTTCCCTGGCTATCAAGTATTGGACACCAAAATGATTTCTACAGAAACATGCAAAATGAGTCCATCCAAAAGAAGAAAGAACAGAAAAGTACGGACAGGCCCAATGCAGATTTCTGAATTCCACTGCAGACCTATAAACATTCAAAATGTCAAATACCCCCACTATATACACCAAGGCCCGCCTGTGAATTAGCATCAATTCTGAGCTGGCACCCACCCTAACTGTACCTTGGGCCTAAAAATTCTGACCCTGGGCTGAACCGTCATTCTCCCAAGAAATAAAGGCATACATCATCCCGTATATCTGATTTGAAAGGGAAGGCAAGGAGATCATTTTTGTATCTGAGAAGAGAAAATGGGTGCATTTTCTTTTCTTTTTTATATATACCAAACATGACCAGGTCTATTCTACTGAGGACCAAAAATAAAGGCACTAAAATTGGAGGAAAATCATCAAATGTGGCCTAAAAGTTAGCATGAGTACAAATGAAGCTAAAACGGAAACAAAGGAAACTCGAGCTTGCCTTATCACATCATAATTTATGCTGAAACAGATGATATATTATATATATTTCCAGTAAGGCCTTGTACCAGATTGGGTGAAGATGGCACAGGAATTAGGTTAAGGGCCAAAATTTTGTTATAAAGAGAAATTTTAGTTACATCTCCCCAGTCCCAAGAACAATAACAAAGAAAACATTGCAAATCCTCAAAAAGATTTAAATCTGTCCCTGATAAATTAGAAGAGATAATTTGTTTTTGTAATGAAAATAACATCAAGATGTTAAATAAGGTGCATTGCAGGAACTGCTAAGTGTTCCCCCATCTCATGACAGTTCCAACTCAAGCAGCCTATGTAGATGCTCTGATACAGAAACCAGAATCTGTTTATATGATACTTTGGGATACCGGCAAAATCTAACATAAATGACAGGGATGTCATAAGCTATCTCATGTATCACAATATGGTATGAAATATGAACATGACAGTTTTACCTAAATTGCAAATTATAAGATATCATTTAACAAGATCAACATAAAATGTCAACAACCAAGATTGGCTCAGACTTATCATCATTGGCTATCAGAAAAGAAAAAAGACATTTAAGAGGACAAAGGCCAAAATGATCTAAGATGAAGTAATTTTGATCAAGAAAACATCAACAATGGACATGAACATTATAGAGAAAGCACTGTTTCCTTCATCTTAATCTTTTTATGTTTCCTCTACACATAAGAAATGCGTAGCCTCTGTGTCTCTGGACCTGCTAACATATCCTCCCAAAGCAGATCAGAGAGTGCAAGAGTCAGCTCTCCAACCTTTCCTGCAAAAACAAAACGAAAAATTCCATCACAAGGAGATTTTCATGGAACACAAAAGTTTAATTAAGTGGTTCACTAGGTCCACATGAAATTAGAATAGCCTACATGAGAATGCATACATAAAATTAAGGTCACGAAATTAGGAGACATTTACCATCTCCTATGGGTCGCTCATCCCACATGATGATTGGTAGTATGGGGAGACCACTTTCCACAAACATCATCTCAGCTGCACTTCTGGCTTCTTCCACTGGTATATCTGCAGTCCTGACACCTTTTAGAAGGCCCTGCTCAACCAATTTGGGTGCCAGGGCAAGAAGCCTTTTAGCGGTGCACCCACTAAGGACCTTATTGAATGAGGGTAACTTGAGCTCCTTGTTCTGGCTTATAATGGCCACATTCACATTTGGTCCCTCAGCAATATAACCTTGCTCATCCACCCAGATAGAAGCAAATGCTCCCTTCTCCTCTGCTTCCATCATTGAGAGGACATTTGGGAGGTAATTCACATTCTTCATTGTGGCGAATAGTGGTGACTTCATTGGTATAGTCGATGTTATCACCTTCACCCCTTCTTTGCACTGAGAATAGTCTTCATCAATTACAACTGCATAGAATGCAGATGTTGGGCAGCCAGAAGGTGACAACAAGAAATTCCCTGGGCCTGCACTCAACCAGTATCTCAGAGAGCCTTTTCTGCACTGTGACACTGCTATCAGTTGCACAAGAATGCTTCTTAGATCTGATCGAGGAAAGGGAGGAGAAATTTTTGCTTTTGATGCTGATCTCAGAAACCGATCCAGATGATGATCCAACTCATATAAGCATCTAGAGTAAACAACATATTCAATAAGTGACACTGTTAACAGATATGCAGGTATCTTGTGCCACACTAAAAGGTGAAGCCTTGGTTTCAGTGCTACTGATCTGGTTTGCATTACCTATGGCGTGCAACTGTGCAAGTTGGAAAACTGAAATACAGATTGCTGGCATGTAAGCTAAGGTAAGAATTAAAACTGTGAATTGGAAATACTGGATTTACCCATCAAGAATCATGGATGTATCAAAAACACCATGTCCTCTGTGAACCATGTGATCATCAATTGGAATAACCATCAGTGCTGGATCAAGTGTAATTCCACCAAAAATGCTAGAATACATTACTGGATATGGTTGCTTCTTTCCTGATTTCCATTTCCCCTGTAGTCTTTGAAGCACCTAATAATTAAATACATAAGAAAAAAACAACAACGATCATGGTTACAATCAGATGAATGCATATGATAAATGCAAGATTGATTTCTCAGGTCCATTTGAATACAAAAAAGTTTGCATGAATTGCAGGCAATTCTAATTGTTTTCCTAATCAACAGCAGATCAAGTCTTTCAGCAGAAAAGTCCTTATTCTTGAGTTGCAACTAAGGGTCATTCCATCCCAAAACTCAACAATTTAAGTGATTACTTCCCCTTCCCATCTCTCTTTTCTTTTAGCCAGTTATAGAACAAATGAATATGTTACAGAAGATAGGACATTTGGGATCATGCAATTAGTCCATGTTTTATCCAGGATTTGCCAGGTTGTATGAACTAAACCCCAAAACCATTTGCATGTTTACAGAGTTTTTTCTCTGTGCCATCATTGGCCCTCCTCATGGCCTATGGTAATGTAACAAATAATTTACACTGGTTTTTTTCAAACTGTATGCAATTTTCATCAGTTTATTAGAAAATAGGGGACTCCTTAGACTGTGCTGATTACTGTCAATTAAATCAGCCAGCCTAGGTTGACTTGATTTGCAATAAATTTAATTCATACAGTTCATGAAGATAATCCCCATCAAATAAAAAAAAATTGATGTTGATTGGAGAAGCCAGAAAGTAGCTGCAGATATACATATATGTTAAGCATATCAAGTACTTGCTTTTCTGAATATAACCACATCAGAATTTATGGCAAACTAGGTAAAGTACCATGTGTAGCAGTTACCCTGCAGTCTGCATTTGCAGAATTCCAGCTTGATACATCTAATTTTCCATTAATGCCATCTGAAACTAGAAATTTCTTATTGGTAACTCTAGTTTATCTAATTTTTTCCCACTGTGTATTCGTTCTTGTTTTCACACTTCACTGAAGAACAAGTGATAAAATGATTAGATCATAACCCAACTCTGGTTCCTTGAATCCCATAGAGGTAACTACCAATTCACCCACAAGAGTGCACGTTATGCTATGTTGCAGAAAAAAAATATTATTTTTTTTATCACTAAAAATATATTATTCGGATCACAATAATGACCTTGCAACTTCTCCAGACAACCTCTCTTGGCCTTGGACTCTCTATATAGGAATAGGAGAACCTCGGGATGAAGGAAATCTTTTTTATGCATTTTCATTTTGTAATTGAAGTCTCTAAAAACTTCAACAGATCAGCAGCTGGCATACACCCATGGATAAATAGATAAGTAAAAAGCAGGAAGAGCAATGCATAAATGGCCAATCCAGACGAACTCAGCTCTTGGACAGTCTGGACTCTGAGAACCATACAGAACCTTCATATAGCAGAGCTAAAGGCACACGGACCGTCCAGAAAAGGAACAGAGAGAAGCTACTTGGACGTTACAGTCTATCTTAACATCCTTTATTGCTAGTCAAAATAGGTCAATAATAGATAATTAAGTGACAAATTAACACAAATAATACTGTAGCTGACTAGCTTCTAAGTGTGAAACAAAGTGAGACGCGTCAGAAACAGTAGAAACTACTATAATCAGGAGAAGAGAAAATTAGAATTTTCACCTCGTCAGAGGAGGAGAAGACAGGCACCCGAAGATCGTTACCATTTTCAGCCTCAGATGCATCTTCAAAATACCACGGACAAGAATCAGATTGTGCCCAAACAATAATAAAAACCAAAAAAAAAAGTACAAGAAAAGAATCGAGGAGATCACCGTCACCATTAACCACTGTTACAATGGTTCAAACGTCAAGAAAGAAGAACAGGACTTACCTGGTTTCTGATGAGATGAGGAGACTTCCATGGAGGGAAGGGAGAAAACTTGAAGAGGAGAAGAATTAAGGAATGACAAAGGAAATAAAAAAAAACAAGAGATGACCGATGATTCGAAAGAAGGGGTGCAATTATTTTTTTGGTAAGAAAGAGAAGAGGAGTTGAGATGTGACGAAAGCGGGAGGAGGTCAAAGTGTCGAATGCTAGCCACAGTGGAGTTGCTTTTGCAAATTTGCATGTAAGAAGACTGCTCACGAATCACAACTTTGATCCTGCCTAACGACCCATATGATCTGATGATCGAATTCCTCTCTTGTAAAGCCACGTCAGCCGTTAAACTTCGATCTTTTTAATGGGTTTAAGAATCCTCTTCTCTCAAGTGACTACAGGCTTACAGTCTAACAGTCCTATGGCCCCAACTCAAAAGTCAAAACATTCTGCTCTTCCACGAACCCCTTTAATCGCTCTCTTTCGGATTGCGGATGAAAATGCCCTCGAAACGATTAAGAGAACGTTTTGACTTTTGATCAGGGACGTAGAGCTGTGAGCCTGCAACCAGTAACTAACCACTGGAGTGGGAGGGATGTTGTTAGAGTGGCCATAGGCCGACGCTTTGATCATCAACATGTTGGAATATCGAATGGTTATGTGACAAGCTACATGTTGATAGAAGATGATTATTTTATGGTTATCTCTACGTAATACTATCACACACAATCATTTATTTTAAATTATTATTTATTTATTTATTTTTTATAAAAAAAATTTATTTGATTGTTTATTTGTAAATGTTTTTATGCGTGAAGATATCAATATTGTTGGATTGTTCTGAATCCAAATTCGAGCTCTTATTGGGTTATTGGATATCCATTTGACCCAGTCTAGATTGGATGACCATGTGGCTAGATCCTTGGTCAGTATGAGACATTTGTCTCAATCTGGAGAGTTCTTAACTTGGTCTTCCCTCTAAACCTTCAAGTCGGTTAAGTTCCCTCCTCAAAAAAAGGAAGGGAACATTAGGGAAAGACCTATATATATGGCTATCACAAAGATAGCCATATGTGCAAAATCAAGATAACTTAGAAGGTCAAGCAACCTCCAAATTTCGGTCCCATCCAGATTTGACAGTTCTCTCTTGCAATTTTGTTTGAGAGCTAGGTGTCTCGGATCCTATATTGTGCAGCTACTCTTATTCTCCTTGTGTGCAGGTTTGGTATGCCAAGATCTCAGCTGTCCACCTCTACATCTACTCGGTCCTTCAGGGAGGAGGGAGTGAAGAGGATTCATTCACTATTGTCATTATGTCACTTATAGTTACTCCTTCCATTTTTTTGCTTGCTTATAGTTTTTGTTATTTCAAATTAAAATACTATTTCATTACAAGTATTACAAGTGAATTAGGGATGGCAAGTTTCTCCATTTTCCTTGTAGTAGGTGTCCGCACAGCGGGGATGGGGATGATAATTTTTCCAATTTCCCAGATTTTAGTAGGAACCCGCCTTGAGGGATGGGGAAGGGAATTTTTTCATCCTAAATTTTTCCAATTGGCTTTAAATTATTGGAATGGCCTAGAGGTGCCCACATTTTTATGATTCTCGCACTATAGTGGGTTGTGCTAGCACGACTCGTGTAGGTTGGGGTAGGGCCCAACATGAGCCCGGGCCCGTGGGCTGGGCCATCTTGTATTTTTTTTTCTTTCTTTTTTTTTTGTTTTCACTACAAAAGAAATTAAAAAAGAAAAATTAAAGGAAAAATGACAAATTCAATGATTGTAAATTGTAACAACAATTTGAAAAAAATCATCTTAAAATTTTATTTCGTATGAAAAATCAATTAATAAAATAAAAATATACACCGATTAATAAAATTGAAAAAAACAATAAAATTATAAAAATTCTATAACAAATAAAAAAATTACAAATAACTTACAATGTATAAATAAAATTGATGAAAATCTCAAAATTTACAATAATCTAAAAAATTTTATTCAAGTCCCACTAAGTGGTGATACATTGGATGACATGTCAAAGTAATGTCTTCTTTTATCTTTGCAGTTTATCTTCTATATCGAATCAATCTCTTAGATAATTGCACATCTCCAATGTTTCATTTATCATCCGACTCTTCCTTTCATCTAGCACTTTATTTCCTATACTAAAACAAAGTTTTGATGCTATTGTGGACATTGGAGGGGTTAATAGATTACGTGCCATAACAACAAGCATAGGATAATTATTTTCTTGTACTTTCCACCATGTTAAAATATCAAAATTTTCTATGTTGTACATTTAAAAGTCTACTAGATATCTTTTCAAATGGTCAGTTCCAAAACTATTATTGCTTTGACAGTAAAAAACACGTTTACATTTATTGCAAATTTCTCTAATGCCTTTTTCCGGTACATCCTTCATGGTGAAATAATTCCAAACATAACTGGTTTTCTTTTTTGGTACTCTAAAATTACTAGGGCCAACATTAAATTGGGTTTGAGAATGGGTTTAAGAGGAACCGATCATTTTAATAGACATGAAATCTAAAATTTAGAAAAAAAAATCCAACTAACCCAATAATTACACTTTAGCCCTTAGAGTTTGATATGCCGATTTGGTATCAAAACTTGAATGCAAAGCTTTTAAGTCTTCCAAATTGCAAACTTCAACTTGAGATACTTGATCAAGCCTTCCTTGTTGAAATTAAAAAAATAAATAAAAAAAAAACTTAAGAATATATGAAAATAGACTATAGAATAACGTGAAAGTATGAGAATGGGAGATTGTATTTGATTGAATGAGAATAATTGTTATTGTGATAAAAATGGGCAAGGGTTAAGGGTCAGAAATAATTGAATTAATCAAAATACCCTCATAAATTAGCTATTTATAGTTGTTAAGAAAGGAGTATTTTGGTCATTTATAAAGTTTATTTCACTTTACTTAAAATACTCCCTACACTAGTTCTTTATAGTAGGGGTATTTTTCCATTATACCCCCCTTATAACAGCTATACAACTGCCATGATCATGCCGAGCTTGGCATGTGGGCCATGCTGGCATGAGCCCTTAGGGTCGTAGGCCAAAATCCATTAACCCAACCTGACCTAGGGAGTCATAGTTGGCGAGCCATGCCTGGCACAACCTGATACGTGCCGGCCCAAGGGTGGCCCAGCCCGTTTTACACCTCTAAATGGCTAGTACAGAATTCTATTCCCACTGATATGGAGAGGATATGGAATGGCAAGATGTGACCAATAGGCAGTGAGCCATCCAATAGACGGTGTGTCATCTACACTCTACAATTACTTGCCTTCTAAGTTGGTCAATTATGATATGCCACGTTAGTTCCATACATATTGACGGAGTCCGGATCTACTCTTCATAGAGCACTCCTTACATCGACCTCACAGCATATCTTGGCCACACATGGGAGTTCCCAATATATGATGGGATGTGGCTATGAGGTCGATATGAGGAGCTTAATGAGTAGCAGACCCTAATTCATATTGGTGATTGGTCCAGAACCAATCATAACTCCACTGTTGGGTTGGGTTCGCAGGTTGGGTCAAGGAGACATAGAAGAGACGTAAATAATCAACTGGCTCGGACTCCCCCTAGGTACTCCCCAACTCCACTCCAGATGAGCCCAGTAGCTCATTCATCCATTCATCTCTTTACTTGGGCATAACCCCAAACGCAAAATAATGGTGCTTGTGCAACAGCAAACCGTGCATTTGCTCCACTATTAGATTTTTTTTTCTTTTTAATTATAAACAATTTACAAACCCTACTAAGGAAAAAAAACCATAGTTACGGTATTCAAGTGAGAATACCTCCTCTTATTGTTCAGATTCAGAGAAGCTTTAGCACAAAAACTAAAATAACGGTACCACCAAAATGGAGCAGAGAGCCAACGCGCAGTTGATTCTCTTCCAGATTGGTTGACTAGAAGTACTGTTTACTTCCTTTTATGGGGATTTTTTTTTGTGGGAGAGGGGGGGGGGAGAGAGAGAGAGATTATTGGATAGTTCATTGTGGTCGCTTGGCGTGCCTCTGGCAGAAGGATTTTATCCTCCCCATGGCTTCTTCAAGAGAAGCCGGCTCAACTGCAAAAGTGATCCGGAGCCAATTTTTTATTCCCACAGCGATTCCTGCAAGAAATGTTATTCCCAAGTGATTAAATAATAATAATAGTATAGGATAATGCGGTAACTACGAATTGGTTCTTCCGAACTCCAGCATTAAGGAAAAAAAATGTTGAAATAAGCAGCAAATCCTTGCAAAGTAGTATTACATTTTTACAAAATGTTGCTTGCATGCCTCCATGCACACACAATCAGGTTTACATGTATGTATTTTGATACCATAAGCCTGACACTACTGGAAATTACATAACCAGTTAACCACCAATCAACCGGTTATACAACCCAAGGTCAGAGTGAATATGTGAAAGAAAGAGATTTCTTTAATTGTTCATCAGACCAGGGTTTTTACTCGGCCAAGAATTATGTAGCTTGACATCATAGTTTTCATGTATCTGGCTCGATCAGCAATTATTTAATAAATTTTTTACCATGAGGTCTTACTGTTGAAACCAACAACCTCTAGTCATATATTGCTCTGGGGATTTGGTATTGTTGGCATGGACTCATCTAGCCTTAATTCTTCAAGTATTCTGGGGATAATTAACAAGTAAGAACAATACAAACTCTGTTTCTTTGACAGAAAAGTATATCAAACAAATAGGGGAATGAGAGACAGAGATACCTGGGTAGTATAGCAATCAGAAACTCAACATTATGACATGTAAGAAAAGATAGAAGCTGTTTTCTGTATGGTTATGATGATCTTCTAGAATGGAAGCTGAAGAAGAATTCTGATACATAGTTGTTGCATTTGATCTGAAATTACAATGTTGGTAATACAAGCAAAGTACCTACCCCTCCCAAGACCCCAGATAACTGGGACCATGTTGAGGGCCCGGGAATAAGATCTCGTCACGAGTCGGTCCACGGGGAAAACCTCCTGTTTTCCCTTGTTCCTTCCTGCTCGTGATGAACCTATC